CTCAGTCCCTGTTTGGAGAGAAAAGTTCAGAGGGGATGGGGAGGGCAGATACCAATTTTTTCTTTTTTACTGTCTGGAAAAGAGGAATCGAAGAAAAAAAAAGGCAATTTATTCCATTTTTGTAGGCAAAATCATTTTACTTTAACATGAGAGTGAACGCACTTTGTGTGAACAATTATTTTAGTCTATATTATATCATATCACTACTGGTTGCTGTAATGCCACTCTTTGCTTTTCTTAAATTTTTGTTGTGTCTTTCAATGGCACACTTTTGTCAACCATCATCCTTGATCCATCTAAAAACCATTGCAGTTTTTGAGGTCGTCATATTTAGAAGTCACATTTGCGTTAGAGGTGGGGGGTTAAGTTGGGGTCTGTTATTTATTAGCATCAACAGGAAAAAATAAAGGGCTTATTCCTCGCCCCCCCTTTTTAAACAAAAAAGACCTTGTCTTTTATTTACTATTTACTGAGGTTGAAAAGAATTTTGGATAGAAAATGTTCATTGAGTCTCACAGAAGAAGAAAGAGTGAAGTTACTCATGCATTTATTTGGTGTTCGGTCTATCCTGAGGATCTTGAAGACACATGTATATGTGTATATATATATATTGAAATCAGAACTTTCAGTTTGAAAGTTTTTGAGTTTTCTTTGTGCTGTGACTGATGCAGTTACTGTAAATGAGTTTTTGCCGTGAAATGGATTTTGTGTGTCTGCATTTTTCTGTCGCTGTCTTTCCTCATTTGCTGTTGAGAGACTTCTCTGTCTTGTTGTTCTTTGAGCACTGACGATTTACTTTCGGCTCTCCTGCCGTCCTCGTGGGACATTTATGATCATCGCAGGTCTGTTCATCGGCCAAGCTGCCCGTTGTCCTCATAGCGTTGCCTCAGAAGCGTTGCAAGCTACTCAGTTTCTTCTTGCCACTAGTGCTAAGGGGTGAGAGAGGGATTGTTTTGGGCAGTTTTTAAAAATGTTCAAAACTGTCCCAATTTCATGGAAACGCAAACTTTGTTTGGGGGGGGGGGTGACAAGGGGATGGCTGTGCCCTTGAAATACGTTTTAGCAACTTTTTTTTTTTGTGTGCAGTGTGTTTTTTTTTGGGTTTTTTTCTTAAATCCTGAGGGAATCTTCCAAATTATGAGAGCGCCAATCCTTGATTCCAAAGCAGATGTCTTGAGGTACCAGATTATGGTCAGTTGTGGCAGCTGGATGGAGACTGTTCAGTAGTTTGTCTAACATACACTATGACTTCTTGGTAAATCAAATCTTCATTTTTACAGTGTACTGCATTTTTGGGATGAACCACAGTTGTATACTCTACTCTATAGGAATAAGAAGAGAGACCCATAGTCACTTCAGAGTGAATGATTTACTTCTAAAAGCTTGTTTTTTGGGGACGGCCAAGGATAAATTATGAAAAGTCTGCAGGTTTGGAACACATTTTAGTAGCCCAGTTACTGTGGCCAATGTTAACATGGACTAAGGCAAATTGTATACTGCTTTAAGCAGTAAATTTTGAGGACACATATTTTCATCTGCTTGCCACTAGCTTTGTAACCAATGTCCTTGTCATGGCACCTTTTTGTTGATGACATCACTGGAGGCTACTCAACTGTACTATTATCTTGTGCTTTGCTGTTACATCATATAGGTCTAAGTACCTGGCCAAGGGGAAGGCGATACTTATAGCTTATAGCATCACATGGCGGGGCAGGAAGTGATAATTTTTGCTGGTTGTAGTAAATTTTGTAAAGCGTGGGTCAAGTTGTGACTCTGGCTGGAGGCTGGAGGGGCATCAAGACTTATTCAGTAATTGGATTGGACCACCTGTTGGATCTAGAGAGTTGCTTGGCCACAGTACTGGCCTGATCTGACTGTTTAAGCAAGAGTTCTGACTTGTTCCTACCGGCATCTGTAGTCAGGCATTTTGCTGTCAGATACAGAAGACCTGAGTTCAATTCCCATTTAGGGATGATTTTTATTGAGTATCTAAGTCTTTCTGCTAGGACTTTGTATGGATCTCGGTCTGAGTTACCTCTGTAAGGCAGGGTCAGTGCCCTTCTCCCAAATGATTTAAATTTTGCTGATGGGGATATTAAAAACATCTAGGTAAAGAACTTTTATTTGAAGGCTTTGTCCTCCCTGTCCCCTCCTCCTTTGCTGCCTCCCCCCAATCTTTTTCTCTTTGTCGTAAATAAAAACCCTCCCTTTCTGCAACCTGTTCCTCTTAAGATTGGCTCCAAGGATAAACCTGATATTGAAATATATTATATATATATATATATATATTATAGCGGTGATCATGATGATGCTGATTCTATTTTTAGATACGGTACTGTAGACGTGTTTGGCGGGGCTCTAGATTTGAACACATGTGTGGATGCCTACTGCAATTTCTGATTTCCCTTTCAATGGTGAAAGGCATCTTGTTGTAATGTGTACACAATAATTATAAATAAACATTGTGATGTACAGATGAACACCTTGTCTTTTGAGTATTTTTCTCCACTCTTCAGTGGTATGCAGTTAGCTTGCAGGTGGATGGAATGGAGGGTGCCACTGATGGGGTCTTTGGGGTTTTGTTTTAGTAAACTTGTTTCTATCTGTCCACTTTGCCTTTCCCTGCACTGGACAGCCGTGATCGTGTCAAATGTTCTTCTGTTGTCAAATAAAGAGAAGGCCCTGGTTTTTTTTTTTTTCTTGTAACATGAACAACTTTGTTAAGATCTTAGCCTCGAACCAGTGTCTGTGGTGCAGTGGTTAGATGCTTTGCTGTCGCATGCAGGAGACCTGAGTTCGGTTCCAGAGTGGGGGAAAATTTTTATTGTGTATCTCGGTCTTTCTGCTGGGATGTTGTATCCTTCTTAATCTTAGCCTGGATTGACCATGACAGGCAGGGTCGGAAGCTTTAACTTTTTAAAACTCTCCTGTCTGGATGTATTCACAAGAGGGTGCTTTTAACTGCAGTAAAAGGAAATCATGCAAATTGAAAATATTTACATTGCTACAGTGTAGTTTTGTTGGAGGGTTTTTTGTTAAAGTGTTTTTATGCCCCCATCAACACAATTAAGATCTTTAGACCCTGCCTGTCACTACTGCCAGGGCCGATCAGGACTGAGAGTTGAGAGGGATACCAAGCAGAAAGACCGAAATACATGATAAAAGTTCTTTCCACACATTCATGGAGCAAACTTAGGTCTCCTGTATGCAACAGAAAAGTCCTTAACCGCTTCACATACCACAAACGCTGGCACATTTCTGCAGCGGGCCGCTACTACAACAGGACCACCACTACCACCATGTTATTATTATAGTCGAATCTTTGTATCGTCAAGGATCACATTTACAGATACTGTAACTAACGATTAGCCAATGAAGATCACTTTCATTACATATATATTGATTATCTCACTACATACTTTCTTTTCCAGTGATATTTTTTTCTCCTCGTCTTTATCTACAGTGGAAACGATATTATAACAGGCCCGGCAATAACAGGGAATATTTAAATCTCCGCCTTTTCCTACTCTTTGTCTCTATTAAAAGTTATCTGCATTAAAAGGGCCTCATCGGAGCCTAATCGGTTAAAGCAGGGACAAAGGCTCGTTAACAATGTGTAAAAAGTGAGAGAGAGAGTGATGGAGCAAGCCCACGCAAGCCACGCCACTGCAACCACACGCAGTGGGTGAAGCGAGAGAGGGCTGCGGTGTGCTGCAGACTTCACCTAGGTACACGCACACGTAATGTGTCATGTGTAGGTCTGCCACATGGCCACGAGAGAGGGCTGCGGTGTGCAAGGGAAACTTCCCATGAATAAATACAGCTGGATTTGTCCACAAGTGCTTACTTCCCTTGCATTTCTGATATAACAGGACTTTTTCTCTGGTCCCACCATCCCTGTTATATCAGGTTTCCACTGTACTTTTTTTTCCTAGTATTTTAGTTTTAGTTTCATGAAAGTGTACAACAACATGTATTTGTGAACAGTTACCGCTTTTGAGAAAAAGAACACACATAGATTTAGGGTAGATCTGACACCCGTTACCAACTTTTCATTCAATTTTTATTCCCATAACAAGTCTCATCATCACCCACGGGAAGACAATGTGACGATCTGCCTGACCAAGGTCACGCAACACCACTGACGGGTTTGAATTATGATCGATGCCAAAATGCATCCAGCTTTCTTTCTCCCTCCCCCGTACATTATGATTTATCATAAAATGGGGTACACAACTTAGTTTTAGTAAAAGTTTTTAAGTGCCAAAGACTAGAGGTGTTACAAGAGAGTAATTAAAACATAACAGGAGGAGAGATGGGGATGATAGAAGTTTGACAGGAAAGAAGGAGCAAACCACATTAAAATGCCCGCCAACCTCCCACTCACAATTAACTTTGGCCTACTATGGGTTACATAAGTCCAGCTAACCATCAATGTTGATAGTTTTGCTTCATTTGGGTTGGGTTTTTTTTTTTTGCTTTCTTGTCGATTTGTTTAAAAAACTGGTTGATGGTTGGACCACTATTATAACCGAGCACGTCTGTCCCAATGCCTCTTACAAAACAATTTTTTTACTATACATAATAAGAATAATAATGTTATAGCCGAAATCCTGTTATAACTGAGACTGTTTAAAGTGGGACACAGTGTTGCTCTAATTCTAATATATCGTAGGGAAATGCTTACAGGAACCATTAAACATCAGTAATAGTAATACAAGTCCAATAACAGAACCATGCGACATTCTCTTTGGTTCAGTTGATAAAAGAAAGTTATATGGACACAATAGTGGTTGACAAGTGCCTAGTGCTGGAAAAAAAAGATGGACAAGAATGAGAAAGCGAGTGAGAGGGAGAGAGCAAAAAAAAAAAGGATGATCTTTTTACACAAGTGAAACACATTAATACATACAACATAATATTAGTAAACTTAAGCACAACCACAAGTTTTCATCCAAATTAACCCATAAACACATGTGTAAACACCCACACAAAACAGCTTTTCAATTTTCATTTGATTTATTGTAAAATTTAAAGCATACATTCTTGACGTAATATGTATTTCACTTCATCATCTTAGAGTTTGTTCGGAACAATCTCCATGTCAATTATGAAAATATAGTTCAGCACTTTTCAATTTTAAAAATAAAGTTTACAGTATGTCTGAAGACCAACATATTTTCCTACTCAATGCAAATCCAGGTCCTTGTGATTTGGCTTCAGACCTCTAGGCCTACTACTATAAACAGTACAATAAAAATAAAACATTCCAAATATAATGCCACGAGGAAATTAAGACTACTCTGAATTCAGGAGATGAATTACAAGTCCTAAAACAGAACCATATTAGCACCACTACAAAAACTCACATACCTGTAACTTGATAATTGCCTTCTCAGCAGTAATCTGTTTCTCTGATTTTAACAATGAACAACTCTATACTTTTAAACTTTCATCAAAACAGAATCAGTCCAGGAAAAAAAAACAACCAACCAACGTGCTTGCTATGTGACTACCTCATCAAAAGTCCAACACTTACTCTATCCATGTCCCAAACTATAAGATCTCCAATGGCAACTTCTTCCTCCCATCTTTACCACAGACAATACCCTAAACGGCAGCAAAGATCACAATTTAATGTAGAACCCCCGCCCCCATCTTTTTATCATGGCATTAGGACGACAGGCATGTGCTCAAAGGCTACTTTAACAATTACAACAACAAGAATAAATAATGGTACACAAGTTTGATAAAAAACCATTGAATATTTTTCCAGCAGACAGTGATGTACCTTTGTATGGTAACCCCCTGTATAAAGAGGTAACCATTATTCCCAGATAAGAAGAATGAAAGTCACCTTTTGCACATCACCCTCTACTTTCGTCTTTGACAAGGCCTTCACAGAAGTAAGGGCCCCAGAGACTCCCAAATACCTAAATCGTAACCTCATCATTGGAAAGAATGCAGACAAAAGTCAAACCTTCTTGCTACTCTCTAAAAAGTTATCTATGTCACTGATCATGCTTGAAGTCTGCAGAAGTGCTTGTCTTACAGACAAAAAGCCTTGCTTGATTTCATCCGTTTTAGAAGAATGAGTCGACCCATGAGATTGTCTGTGGAAGTTGGACTGTGTCCCATGTGGTAATTTCTGATCACGAAACTGACTGTCATTCAAAGGCAAAGCACTGTTTCTGTACCCAGGCATAAAGGCTTCATTTCCTTTAGATCGAGGTTGAAACAAAGAAGCTGTTGGAGTCTGCGCTGACAAGCGAGGAGAAATATTCTTTCTCTCTGAAGCTGGTATGTGTGCAGAGATCTCCGCCAGTTCTGTCCCTTGTTGGCCTACTTGTTCACACAGCTGTGTTTGTTCCAGAATGTCTATATGATGGTTAAGAGAAAAACATATTATTAAGGGGAAGTCATTTTGTTAATTTCTATTCTTTCTCGTTCTACATTCTCCCTGGTTAGATCAAAGGCGTATTCGTCACTGTAATCCTTTCATTCCCAAGTGAAACTAAATTTCATGCATTTTCAGTGCTTTCACCAGCTGAAGCTGAAAAGTAAGGAAAATTCTGAGGGGGGACAGGGGTAGGCCCCCCATCAGGGTCTAGGAACAGCGTCTCGGTGGGGGTTCAGGGGGCGAAGCCCCCAAAGAAATTCAAATTTAGTGCTTTTAGAGGGTTGAAAATGGCATTTGGGAGCCTGTTTGAAGAGATTGCCAACAAACCATAACATTTATTTTTTCACCAACATTTTGTCTTGTTTGATTTCTTCACCAAACCAAGATCTTCATAAAATATTTCCATTGATGGCAATGTTTAAAAGCAGGTTCCCCTTCCATTGCTACTATAATTCAATTAAATCATTCGCTACGCCGAGCCGTGGGGGTGCGGCGCAGCTAAAGTGCCGTCAGTACGCTAAGCCGCCCCCGGCGGCTCGAGAACCGATCTTCAATTTTAGCTTAGTTTCTATTCCAATCCACATATCCATGTTAAAATAAAGGTCATAATATAATGTTGACTTCTGGGTCAAGCATTTCCACTGAAAATCGGAAAATTAGGTTCAGTTTTGAAACGCGATTTCGTAGTTTATTCGACTTTGTTTTATCGCGATGCCAAAATTATAGCCCGGACACCAGTCTTAGTACTTTTACACAACAAAATCTATCATTATTTAGCCTACTAAAGAAATGTAGGACTCTTTTTTATAACATTGATTCGATTGGACTCATATTGCCAATGCACTGTTATTGAGAAATAAATATTTTTGAGTGCTAGATTTAGGTCTAGATTCTAGATCTAAATTGTCAAAATATTTTTATTCCCCAAAATCACTACTTTTTAATGAAATTACACAAAAAGTGCCACTCAAGACATGTATAGGTTTATTCCAAATGCAATTCTGAATAATTCCATATAAGATACGAGTGGGGGTTTTCAGTTTGTGATCGTTTTTCAAGATTATGAAAATTTATTTATTTTTGAATATCGGATGTTATGTTCAAAATGTACAAATATTATGGAATGTACGTAAATAACTGCAAACTTTTCAATATTTTCCAGTTCTATATTCATTTACGGTTATTTTGATGTATCATTTGATTATGTGCAAACATATTTTTTGAGTAGGTACCAGAAACTAAATTTTCAAAGTAGTTGTATGCCAAATTTATCAGTTCCATTTGAAAGGCCTATATCCACTGAGCATTTTGGTACCATTCTTTAACCTCTCAGTCATTTTTTAAGAAAATGGTAGTTGTTTATAATTTGATCAAATTTGTTAAAGTCAGTCACTGGCTGCAACCCCATGTTTGACAGACAATTAAAGAGTACCAAGAGCACTAAACATCTCCACATTAACAAAGTACAATTACTATAACAAATATATGGAGCCTAATTTTTTTCAAGACTGTGAGATCATTACAAATCAGTACTTTATCGCCTCAAACACGATGATCTGTCGTTATTTCGACAAAAACACTGAGCGTTGATCCCGCCGGTGCCGCCCCGGGCCCCGCAGCGAGCGAGTCGGCTCTATACTGTAGTGTACCCCGCGTGCCGGGTCACATGCTTTCTGAGTCTCGCGGAAGGATTGATGATAAATAATTCCAAGCTGATTACTTTATTCTAATAGAAAATAAGCTGATCTTTTATTAGTTACAATTTTTAAGCCGGTATTTTACATATTATGGGTAAAAAGAGACCTTTTAACATTTTGACAGTATTTTTAAAAGCTTTCTATTTAGATGCCAACGGCAAAACACATACCACAGGAAAGCCCGTTTAAAGCTCTACAGTTCTCCGCCAATGAAAAGACGGTATTTAATCATTCCTCGTTCCGCGAAGCATTTGAATGCAGCCGTGTCAATTTTTCAACCGGCCGACCACGCATTCCGACCGCGAGGGGCTTCGCTTTCGTCAGCGATTCTCCAGCTCCTACTAATCGGACATAAAAACAACTTACACCATTGTAATGAGGAAAAGCTGAACTTTTAGAAGGTGTACGGTACTTGGTGTTTTATAGCGAAAGAGCAAAGAAACAGCGATCTGAATTACCCCGATTTCACCGATACCACGCGGTCGGAAGGCCGCGAGTGTTTACGCTACCTATTTTGAGTTTCACCAAAGATTATTAATTTTTTATTTTCAAATCTTCTCCGCATCCAATCAAAATTGTGTTGCATAATCGTCTCTTACAGGAACCAAAGTTGAAAAATACATAAATAAACATTACAGATGTATTCTACAAACCATACTGAAAATTTTGGTATATAATATGTTGACATTTATTTGAATTTGTGGCCCCAAAGACCTTTAACTGCCCACTAGTCATCATTTCATTCGCCCTCCCGAAAAAAAATTCGTCCACAAGCCGAAAATAATACGTAGCAAATGAATTAATTTGATATCGCAACATTGATAGAAGGCAAATCTGGGAATAATGAATAGATATGTACCTTCACAATACAGTTACCCGGCGTATACTTAACTTTCACGTCTGAATGTCGCATGTCACAACCTCGGAACACTACTTCGAATTATTCTTGATTTTAGTAGTTTTAGGCTGGTTTTAGCATAAATTTCTTTCATCGCGAACTTTATCGCGTTCCCGAGCCGTAGAATCTTTGTGTTGATCATTTCTCTAGATCTAGACAAATTTGTAAAAAAGTTTCTTTCTGACAGTAATTTTCTGTCTAAGATCACAAGTCAATTTACTTGATCAAAGCGCAGATTTTCCAGCCGCGGCAACCATTTGAAGATAGACAGACGGAATGAGTGAATGATAGAAAGGAGGAAATTGGCACAAAAAGTTTGCCAGATTTTGATCAATCCACAGGTAAAAATGTACTGCCGACCAACCCGCAATGAATGCATGGGGCATAGCGGAATAATGTACGATTGCAGGAAATGCGCAATCTGGCAGGTTTCTATAACATTAACTTATTGCCAGGAGAATTACCGTAAATATCCGTAACTTATACTAGTACTAGATGATATGAAGGCGAGTACGGATCTTTTGCTGCGGAATTTCAGTAGTCCTACCCTGTTGCAGCTTTTTACGGAGGGAGTTGGTAATGATGGAGGAACAAATACGGAACTGGCAGAGAGTACGGATTTCCATAAAAATACGGAAGAGAGGAAGCACTGATCTAGTTAACCGTCTCATTATCTCATTTGTGTCCCTCATCTTTCTGACTGCCATAACTGAGAGTAGATGGTGAACACCATATAGAAGCAGTGCATCCATTCAATAGAGAATCATTAGAATACAACACATTGTCACGTAAACTGTCACAACTGGTACATCTATTGTCTGTATTCTAATTTTTAAACAACTTTTATCAACTTGAAATGTTTGATCAATTGTTTAGCCCACTGACTGTTCATTAAACAGTAATTTACTAATAGTAGTACTGACTGTGCAAAACTTATCATGAGAAGGCAGCTTGGCAAAGGATACAATTGAAGCAAAATATTTTTTTCAGCTCCAGTTCTGCAGCTCTGAAATGAAAAAAAAAAAAGGATGAAAATAGATCGAATAGCACTTTTGAATAATAAATTTAATATGAACTGCAGTGACTAACAATCGGTTGTTTTTTTTAGTCTGTGCTTCATTGTGTATTATACTACATTCAAAAGACCTGTACATTATTTTATTACCTGTATTTGTTTTATAATCCATGCCATTGTAAACCAAATGTATCTGAGAAGAAAAAAACAAGTGGATTATACCACATTCAAAAGACCTATACATTATTCTACGTCTGCTTTATGCAAGCCGTAGTAAACCAAATTTATCAGAGAACATCATAAAAAAAGTGGTAAATTAAATTTTTTTTCCTTTTTATCTGGGTAGGTTACATGAGTCACTCACCTCTGCATCACAGTTGGCAAGTGCTGTTTTTGGTAGAACTCTTGCCTCTCCATTGGCGACGCATTCACCCACGACGCCCATTCCTTCGCCGCCTGAACATACCTGAGGGAAGAAGGAAGAGATTACAACACAACTGCGAATATGATATGACCTTAGCTATTTTTGGTAAGTGTTTTACGGCACTCGCAACTGCATAAGGTCATATGAGTGCGGGGGACTAAACATTTTCAGTAGCCAGGAAATTTTGAATTTTGCCCGGGTGGGAGCTGAAGCCTACTCTTATTGATTTTTCACCACCAAGGAATCTTTAACGTGCGCAACTTGCACAACGGGACCTCTGAGATTTTTCCTCTTTCGCCCTTGTCAGAGAAGGCTAGGTATAGATCCTTCCTACTATACGATCAGGGGTGTGGCTGAAAGACAGCAGTAAGAAGGGGCCAAGGAGTAGCAGTAGAAAGTCTGCAGAAAGAGTCAGGAGCCCAGAGGAGGGGGCAAATGAGGTGAGGGGGGTGGGGGCAGAAAGTGAAGATGAAAGCAGACAACAAGACATTGTTAGAGAGTAGGAAATGAGTTGAAAGAAGACAATTTTAGAGAAGAAAAATTTCTGTCGCTATCCGGACTCGAACTCCAGACCTATTAAATGAGAAGCGAACACCTTAACCTCTAGGCCATGAGAGCCCCCCATTATTTCTACACAGCTTCCTTCAAAACTGACATGTTTTAACTCTGCTTGTTCCTTTCAAGACGCAATGACAATAAATGATTGTGAGGCAGCGTGGTGAAATCAGGCGTTCATCAAAATAATGAAAGTGAAAAAACTAGCATTTTTCGGCAGGTTTTGGAATTTTTGTGGAATTCTTTTTTTTTTTAGGGGGGGGGGGGGTCAACACCTTTCAAGGACAGATTTCAGTGTGGATTTTATTGAAAAAAAAGTTGATTAAAGGCATAAAAGATGCCACTTTTCAGTTTCCTCTCAAACTAAGGAAAATAAGGCAACTTTGGCGGCCATTTTCTAGCTAATTTTTGCCTCTGAAACCAGGCGACCCGCACCTCCTTCAATAGCCAATATCTTGGCTTGTACAAAAAATAAATGGATATTTGTTCCATTATGGCAAATGGACAGGCTTTAAGATGATACAAATTATTTCATGTGCCCCAAAATCATAGCTGCCACTTTCCCGCTAAATAGCGGAAACTCCGCTACATCTAGCTTTTCCCGCTACTTTCCTCCTTCCTCCGCTGGACCGCTCTCGGTCGCAAATTGTGATGCTTTTTTACACGCGAAAAACGCCGAACCGGAAGAGAAACGAAAACGCAGCTTGCGCATGTCCGCCCGTAGCTTTCTACTTCCGTTCTTCTAGGCCTAGCGCTAGTTTCACTTTGTTTATTGTGGAGCAACACACTACAGTGTCGATCGGGCATCGGGACGTTGACGCGCCGAGTTGTCATTGAAAACAGAGGAAATTCGAGAGAAATTGATGCTGAATGCAAAAATAAAAGGAGCTGGAATGAGAAAGAAGCTGCCGGTGTGCGACTTGAAAAGTTCATGAGAAAATTGAACAAACCGCTGGCTGCACTTTGCGTTTGGTGCGATAAAGAAATCGCGGCCCGCGCCACTCCTGTACAATTGCGGTCCCGTTTGTTTACATGATGGCTATTGTGGCTGTTGAAGTGAATCTAGATCTAGATAATCTATCTCTAGATATAATCTAGATTTACGCATATTTAGATATCTAGATTCTAGATCTAGATTAGATAGCCTAGGCTATTATTTTAATTCAGTTTAGATTTACACACTACAGGGGCACTATTAATTTAAGTGCAAACGGGACCGCAATTGTACAGGAGTGCTCAGTACAGCGGCAAAGGTGTTGCCTCCTTGATCCCATACTGCGCGCGCTCTACATCGATGTACAAGTTTAAAGTGAAAGAAATCTTTTTATAAGACACCAGCTGGCAACAAACACTGGATTTTTAGTCAACAAGTCCAAACTGTGTCAAATTGACTCAAATGCTTGTTAGTCAACTTAGTGCTTTTGTTGTTGTTGGGTTTTTTGGGGTTTTTCTTTTCAAATACATTTTAATTCAGTTGCCTAAGGTTAACAAATATGACAGTTTTCCCTTCCAAAACCATAGGCTAGATTTTCCAGTACATGTATATATTGCCTCTGGATCTCACTGGTTTTACTCCGGCCTTCGGAGAGAGCGCATCCGCCTTCGCATGAATTTCCTCCTTTTTTGAAATTCCTGAGTGGCAGCTATGCAAAATAGACGAGTGCCTGATTTCACAGCGTCGGGACACAATTTAATAGTATTTGTATAGTGCATATCCCCGCTTAGCAACAAGCTCTACTATGCACTTTACAATCTTCATAATTACCCCAACAAACCCTAGAACACTCAGAGACATTCTCAGTTTCCCAGGAAGCATACAGTGCTAGCAGTCAATTAAACACTCAGATTCTAACAAAACCGACAAGAACTTTCGCTGTCTATAGACAGGAAACCATTCCCACCTGCATGAAGTGAGGGAAACTAATGTAAAGTGCATCACCTAAGACACAACATTGGGCCCCTGACAGGGTTCGACCTCACAAGTTTTTGGTAGCGAGCCCAACACCTGCAACTCAAAATGAAAGTTTTCTAAAAAATCATTCAGGCTTGGAACTTGTTGGGTTTTGCTGCTTGTGTGACACAGGCATGTCATTCTACCGTGCCCCCCCCCCCCCACCACACACACACAGAGTATAGTATGGTGATGTGACAACTAATTTCATGCCAAGTCATGATTATTGACTCAAGCCTTGCCGCAGCATTGCTAACAAAAGTCTGTAAATAAATTGTCACAGCACCACGCCACAAGTAGTTCATCTGTCTGAAGCTATTGGTCTATCATACTAGAAACTAAATATAACCAAATCCAACACATCAAGACACAAACAACAAAAGGGCATCAACAATGAGACTTTTACAAGGAGACCTTGTTCATTATCTTTGATAAGACCTTGTAATAAGCCTCATCAAAAATTTTGTAAAAGTTTCCTCCACAATCAGCAGACAGACAGACATTCAGACAGACAGACAGACAGACAGACAGACAGACAGACAGACAGACAGACAGACAGACAGACAGACAGAGAAAGTATGAGAATGGAAGAAAGATGGCATGAGAAAGAGTAAGAGAGAAAGAGGGAGAGAAAGAAAAAGAGTGAGAGAGAGAGAGAGAGAGAGAGAGAGAGAGCGAGAGCGAGAGAGAGCGAGCGAGAGCGAGAGCGAGAGAGAGAGAGAGAAAGTGAGAGAGAGAGAGAAAGAGAGAGAGAGAGAGAAAGAGAAAGAAATCTATTTACTTTCTGTATGGTCCTGGGCTGCCAATATCCACTGTAACATACTGTCCAGAAGGAAGCATCAGTCGTCCACTTGTGTAACTAAATGGCAGACCAGATGTGTTTTGTACAAGAAAAGGCTGCCAACAGAAAAAAATGAAACCAACATTTTACCTTTTTGAGTTTGAGTTCAGAGAAGCACTTTATTTTAAAAAATAGCAGCCATGTAGTGCACAGAAAAAGCAAGGCAGACAGGCAGAAACAAAAGAAGTAGGGCCTACTGCGCCAGTGGTGCCCTCCAGCCATCCACTTTTTCATCTTGGGAGTTTTAGTTTGAGTAAAAAGAAGCACATCAGTTTGACAACCGTCATGTTGTGCCAGGAAAGAGAAAGATAAAAACGAACATCAGAGAAAAACAATTCGAGAGTGGTGACCTCCTCGCTCTTATTAGACAACACGTAACTTAGGAAAAATACCAAACCTCACAGCAACAAAAAAAATGTTATCATTTTCAGTATTAAGAAGTACAAAAATAGTTTAAAATAAATAAATAATACTTTACTGTTCCCACAACAAGCAATACATCTTGACCAGAAAATATTTAAAGACAGACTTTCTCTCTTTCTTACCTTCCCTATCCCTCCCTTTCCCCATCACTTGTTCCCTCTTGCACTCTCTCCCTTTCCTCTCTTTCTCTCTCTCCACCTCTCTAAAAAGAAAGCCTTTCAAAATCCATAAGACATATTATCCTCAAAGATCACCTGAGGGTCTTTGCTATGTTTTGAGCACTCCTCCAAACGTCGGGAAAAGTTGCACTGTAGATCCAAAGCCACCCTGTCGTCGAACACGATGCGCACTCTTCCGCTTGTGAAGGCAGAAAACTTCCCCAGTCCTTCAACCTGACACTCCTCCAACAGTGAAGACGACAGAGGCTCCACTACAGCCACCACCTCCTTCTGTCAGCACAGATGAATAAAATAAAAAGTGAACTCATGGATTTCAATTGTGCTGCACTTTCTTTGGTCAATAAACCCTGTACTGATATTATATGGGACTTAATTATGGCAAGCAAAATGTCTAAAGAAGAGATGCTTTCAAACACACAAAAATTTATGTCCCCCTCCCACTCCAGAAAAATGGCAGTTGGGCAATTAGAAATCCCAAAGGGTATTTTTTCAGTGGCAGTAGCAGCTTTAACAACAATTAAATCTAAACAAGGCTTTCAAATAAAGCTCATGAAATTCAGCCTGTCTCATTCTAGTTCACATTGTCTCTTTTTTATTTTTTTATATTAAAGAAATAATATTCTTCATGAAATTTAACGCAAAGGAATAAAATAAACACCTTTCCCCTTCCAAACCCACACATTTTTACATACACAAAAACACATTCAAGTACAGGTACTCTAATAAAAAAAGATGTCTTCAAAGAAAAACTCCAAACTTACCTTCCAACAAGGAACTTCTTCCTTCAGACCTCTTTTATCCCACTGTATTGACATGATCACGAACCTGGGATGAGAATGAAAAAAAATTTAATTCATGCAAATATTCGAAGAAATGTGAAGATCTATAAAAATAAGAATAATAAAATACGCCCACTCTTGTACAATATAGTTCTAGGCCCTTTATACATACACATACACTCTTTAGTTCAGCACATACAAACACAAGCAGACATTCACACTATCACAGGATCAAAGACTCCTTTTTTAGAGTTTTGACTTCAAAGACATTATGATTTGTTTGTGTGCAATAACCACTGACTGAATAAATTAATTTGTGAGCAATAATCACTGACTGAATACATTCTGATACATTTTGTTCACAGTATCAGAATTTGCATGTACCATGAGGCCTCAAAGGAAATATATGACCCTATCCCAAACTCAAAGTACATTCGATGATTATAAAAAACCCATAGAAGTCTCCACAATTTGAACACAAAAATGTGGTCATTAAGTAACATGTTCATCTTGTTGCTATCACGATTGCAACAGACCTCCTCAAATCTTTTACATCATTGTATAAACGAGAAAAGGAAGGAACTCATTTTGAGATGTATAAATATAGACATACAGAGAGAATAATTACCTCTCATTTGGTATGTGACATGTCAAAGAAGCATAAATTTGGAAAGACTTATGATATTCTTTTAAATGGTAAAAAGAGCTGTGATCAAGAAGCCTACCGCGGTCAAAACATTGCCAAGACATTTGATTTTGCTTGCCCAGACATTTAGTTTGTTTGTATTATTTGTATAAGTAAGACTTTTATGGCACTTGCAACACAAATAGGAGAAGGATCATAAGAGTGTCAAAGGATTAGAGGTGCTGTTACATGAGAGTAACATATACAGAAAAGGGGGAGATGGATAATAGAGGAAAGTGGAACAAACCACACCCAAGCCTCCACCAGCCACCCACACGCATTGAGTTCACAGACAGGACTGACACAGTAACAGTGAAGACCACACAACTCACCTATGTGCCGTCTTGATGAGCTTTGCCACTGAGTAACTTCCCTTTCGTCGCTCTGGCGGTAACGACTTCAGAGAGTATGTTCTCTCCTCAAGCTGGAACAAAAAAACAGAAAACAAAAGAAAAAAAATGTTAACCAGTAAAACAAATGTACTGTCTAGTTTTCCATCAAATAACTATCAACACATTACATAGACTCTATATACTAACATCTGTGGTGCAGCCGTTAGGCACTTCGCCATAGCAAGCAGGTGACTCAAGTTCGATTCCCAAGTTAGGATAGTTTTCATTATCTGAATCTTTTTCCCCTAGGATGTTGTATCCCTCTCAGCACTGGTTGGTCTTAATAGGCAGGGTCGAAGCCCATCTCCTAAATTATTTAGATAGTGTCAAATGGGGTGTAAAAAATACTGACTTTAAAAAAGAAATCTATAGCCAAATCTAATATAATGAAGTTCTTTATTGAGTCACTGTTGTAGGTGGCTAATCCTAAGCAAAGGACGAGGTACCACCTGAGACATCAAATGCATTTAAAAACTTAACGCAGCAAAGAACAGATATGCAATGGCATGAAGATCATTTAGCCCTGACTACAAGTTCTTTTCAAAGTATCGGTCAAAAGTTACGCAATGAAAAAACATCTAGAAAAAGAGTACTGGGGCAGGGTGAGGGAGCAAGAGAGAAAGGATGAGATAAAACACTGAAATAATATTCACTGACCTGATCTCCAACTAAAACGTAGTGAACAAAAAAGTGAGCCTGCACGCCTTGGGATACCAAAATACTCCCATCTCCAGGGTGGACTTCAATCACTTTCATTTCTTCTCGGTGAATGAGCCTGGAGTCACAAAAATCAGAAATTGGTGGGAAGGTGAGGCAAGGGATAAAAACTGTACATTGTAAGTGCAGAAGCCCATCAACATAATCATTGTTTAGAGTATGATTCAAGGACAGAATCAAAAGAATGAGAGAAAAGAAAAACGACGTAATTTTGATGCATAGTACTCCAACTTCTTTGTAATACCACAAGGGCACTGGACTGAGAGAAACTTGAAACAAATCTCAAATTTTAACCATAAATAACATTCAAATGTTGGCAAAGTCCATCACTCAACCGCTCAGCAGAGGCCAGCATTTTCAGTTAAATTAATATTAAGATCCAGTTTTAATACAGTGGAATCCACTTATAACGAGTCCTGAAATAACAAGAAGTCTGTTGTAAAGACATTATTCTAAAACCCCGTTTTTTCCCTTCTTTATCTTTGTAAATAAAATACTGCTATAGCACAATCAGACAAACACGCAAGTCGGTTATAGCGGATTACTGCTGTTGCTGTGCACAGTGAATAGGCCATTTATTCATGCAACACCTCGCCAGTTGTTGGTGATCTAGCGAAACAAAGAATGGGAGAGCCCACGTGTGCCAACAATGAAGGCGGAGCGAATGAGTAGGGAGGATGTGGTATGCACAGACAAGCAGAACGCATCGCATGATAGGCCAGCCTAGTCTAGATTATTTAGGTCTACCACGCCTCTCACTTCACCGATGCGGGGATGGAGAGGTCACAATGATATGACTGTGATGGAGGGAGCAAATGTGTGACGGGAGCAAATGTGTGACGTGCGCAAGCAGACGGAACGCACCACAGGTTGTGGTGGAGTGGGGGACGACACAGAGGGCGAGTTAGCCTACAGAACTTTTTTCCTGACCGCCGACGCTGAGCTGTCACATCGCTAGAGAAAGAAACCTTATTCGATTTTTGATCAAGTAAGACTTTAAAGGTCATGTTGAGCCAAATCATCATCACGGGAGATTACAAAAAGAAACGAACAGAAAACCAGACACATAGATTAGGCCTATTGTACTATTTCCCTTGAATTAATTACTGGATCCCTTATAACGAGAATCCTGCTATAACGGATGTTTCGCACCGGTCCCCTCCCTCTCGTTATAACAGTATTCCACTGTACACCGTTAACATAAATACCTGTAGACTATTCCCTCAGAGATGATGATTTTCAATCTCCCGTGATGAAACTCTCCGACAGATGAGCTCCCTTGACCGTTAACCTCTTCAGGTTCATGAACCGGTTCCCTCTTATGTTCATGTTGGAAAGGACATGTCAGAGAAATCGGGGCTGGCACGGTGGTTATGTGGCAGTTTTTCTTGTTCAGCTTTACAGAGGAAGCAGTAGACTGAAAATGCTGCAAGCTGGGATGGGCAGGAATTTCCTCACCTGAAACACAAATCTTGACTGTAAAACTGACTGCAAATATCTCGTGTCCACACTGACCCAATTTGATTAATTTCAGAGGCTGGTTGCTTCAACCCTGCTAATAAGGGCAAACCTAAACTAAGTGGGATATAGTATCCCAGCAGAAAGGAAAGACAGAGATACTGAATAAAATAAACTTCCGCACTCAGGAATTGGAATCCCCATCTTTTGTGTGAGATGGCAAAGATTCTTACCATTAATCAACACAGACACCTGTTAAGATTAAAGGGACTGAGAAGAACACTAGCAGAATAAAGACAGAGGGAATCTTTTAAAGTCACTACACAATAAAGGAAAACCTGCCACATTTGTTTAAAAAACAACTACAGTAGAACATGACTTTAGCGACACCCACTACAGCAGGACCACCCCTACAGCGTGACATTACCGGAATCCTCTACCCTTCTCCCTCCGAGACCTAACATAGACAACACACTCTATGGAACATTACAGCAACTGCAGCAGACCTGCACTTATCACTACATGGCATTGGACAGAAGGGCGAGAGCCCAGCTGTTGCTGGATCGATAACAACAACAACCGGAATCCTCCTTTTTTTCATATGAAAACTCAATTACTTATGCTTGAATTTAGCGGGGCAAGGAAATCCCGAACTCAGATACAGCGGGAGAGATCGAGTGAGCTCTAGCTGGGGGGAAGGGGGTTGGGGGCTGTATACGGGCTCCAGTCAGGCAGTCAGTGGTGTGGCGTTGTGATTGGCTAGTCCAGTGATGAGTGAGGTGAAGAGAGATGGTGCGGAGAGATGCGTTACATCAACCACTCCAAAAGTGATGTGTCATAGCCTAGATGCGTGGTACAAGAGCGTATAGGCCATAGCCCTGGCTAAGCCAAAAAGTAAAAGAAGAGGAGAGGGCGTAGTGTGTGATTCCTGATTCATTGAAATGCGATTGTTGATGCTCAGACTCAGGCATATGCACGCATTCACTTCACCAGTTCTACAGTAGGCCTACCGGTACAATAGACAGCACAAGCAACAAGACCGAGGAAAAGATGGCTTCCAACAAAGACAAAAGGAAATGCTTCTCACTCGAATTGAAGGCCGATATAATCAACGAAGTTGACAAGAAAAGGAAGACTAATCAAAAGCACAATTTTTACTGATATGGAAGGGAAGTAATCATGTGGATTTCTATACTTTTTTGGGTAATTCCCTTTTGATTTCTGGAACTCGCATACAGAGGGACTTTTCTTCTGGAACCTGAACCAAAAGTCCTGCTATAGCCGTGTTCTACTGTATTGTCAAACTGGATTAGGAACTTACAAAAGAACAAGAAAAGTTATTGTCTGAAACAGCTGTCCATTGTCAAAGAGAAAAGTGTCCATCTCACACAGCGTAATTACATTTTTTTTTTATACGAAGGGGAGGAGATGGGAAGTGGAGGCCGTTTGTACAGGTGATGGTTTTCTACAGGTGGCCGTTGGAGAAGGTTCAACAGTATTTCCATAATTTGAACACTTGTCATAATGATGAATTGTTTCTTTTTCTGGTACATGTCTATGTGTGCCAGACAGTGAGACTGAAGAAATAGAGAGACAGAGAGAGAAAGAAAGAGAGAGAGAGAGAGAGAGAGAGAGACAAAGCGAATTAAAATGTTATTCTTTCTATAGAGAATGAATGTTTTATTCTGCCTGTAGCCATTCAAGTTTTTGTTTTATTGTGACCGTTAGTGAGTTTTTATTGCATTCTACATTTTTGTTTTGGTTCAGTGCATGATTAATTTTCTCATAGAAATGTTTGATACATATATATATATA